TGCATTCCAAAACCACTTTAACATCTTTTATCGATCTATGTTAAAGCCAGACATCTGAACATTTCTTTCCGATTTCTGTTTTCCACAATTACTTTAACATATTTTATCAATTTTTGTTAAAACCAGACATCTGAATATCTCTTTCCGATTTCTGCATTCCAAAACCACTTTAACATCTTTTATCGATCTATGTTAAAGCCAGACATCTGAACATTTCTTTCCGATTTCTGTTTTCCACAATTACTTTAACATATTTTATCAATTTTTGTTAAAACCAGACATCTTAACATCTCTTTCCGATTTCTGTTTTCCCCAACGACTTTAAAATATTTTATCGATCTATGTTAAAGCCAGACATCTTAACATCTCTTTCCGGTTTCTGCATTCCAAAACCACTTTAACATCTTTTATCGGTTTATGTTAAAGAAAGACATCTTAACATCTCTTTCCGGTTTCTGTTTTCCACAATTACTTTAACATATTTTATCAATTTTTGTTAAAACCAGACATCTTAACATCTCTTTCCGGTTTCTGTTTTCTCCAACCACATTAATATCATTTATCTGTTTATGTTAAAGCCAGATGTATTTGAGAATACAGAACCGAATTATTTGTTTTGTACTTCTCAGCACAAATCTTAACTTCTTGTTCAACTTTCTTTTCATGCCTTACATCTTAATTAACTAAGTTTTTGTTTACTTCATTATTTAACATCATATTATTAATTTTTTCTCAATAAAATATGATATTAATCTGTTTCACATCCCTGCTCATTCCACACAAAGTTTTCATTAATTCATTTTCTGTTCTCTACGAGCACATCTCAGCCTCTGCATCGCGCTTTTCTTTAATACTCGAACGTTAACTCTCTTAAGCCTTCTTTCTGCACTGAACATTCTCTCTCTCCGGTTTCTGTTCAAGTTCCCATACCATAAACAATATTTCAGATTTACGTTTACACTGTTCGGGTTTGTACTTGTGCACTCTATATACATCTTAAACCTTTTTTTTTTGGGGGGGGGGACATGTATGTTCATTTTAAGCAAATTCTAACTCTATTCCTTTCTGGGTTATATGTTTTTTACCACTTTATTTTTCTTCTGGGTTTTTAGACACATCATACATCTGTTCACTAAACAAACCTTAACCTCACTTTCAGATACCATAAACAATCACCGAATAGATTGAGTGAAGCATGACGTATACTGTTTATGTACAGATTTCACAAATTTGAACCTATTTCTCTAAAAAAAATTTCTTTAAAAATATGTAATAAATGAAATAATAACGATTGCATTCAATTATTCATACTCGGCTGCAATATATATTTAATAATGCTGATAATCTTTATTATTTAATTTATTTATAGGTTGCTATTTATAACATCTTATTCGTACTGAGTATGCCTTCCGAATGTCAATTCTCAGTCAACATTTATATAATCATAGAAACGTTATTTAAGTTAATGCTTCAAACTGGCTTAAGAAACCCTTATAACGTTTACAATATTGCGAGTGTCAGATAATTGGAAACATCATACAAATTTAGAATATCAAACATATTTACAGCGTAAGAAACTACATCTTTAGGAAAGTTAATACATCCAAGAAATGTAAACTTAGACAAAGCTTATAATTGTAAAGTATAAGAACAACAGTTAGTCCTAATGTCAGCCTAAAACAGTGCTCAGTTACATTGCATCATTTGCAGTAAAATAACCAATGTACTTTATACTTCAATAAACTTGTAAAGTAACTCTTTTCACAACTTACTAGAAAACATGGTTTCCCAGAACAGTATTAGTATTTAATGAGATAACAACATCATACAGAGGAGAAAGAAGAAAAGGGGGAGATGTGGGAGGAATTAACAACGGTATAAAACGTTTAGTCTTCTCCTGTAATTCTCCCTTCTTTCCATGTACAACCCAAGCGGGTTTAAACACATCTAATATATTACAGAATACGTTTAGTAAAGAACAAAACAAATATGCGTTTGAGTGTTTCGTACGATCAAAGGCTACGCGTGGCCTAATGGTTAGCTTGCCGGACTTTGGATCTGAAGATCCAAATTTCGCGTCCCGTTGTTTAAAAAAAATCGCTCTCCGTACTTTGGGGTCGTGAATGCGTTATAAGTGTGATGGTCAAATCCCACTATTAGATTACAGTTCCAAACAGGCGGTGACGGGTGGTATAGACTTGCTGACTTCTCTCCAGCCTATTAGTTTCGGCTAGCGTGGATAGTTTTTATGTAACTTTGCATGAATATCCTAAAAAAACACAAACCTTTACAATTAAAATATTGGTTCAACGTATTCTATGATGTTCTTCAGTGACGAAACAACACGCCTTTCGAGTTAATACACATATTGTATTACAAATGAACATTAGAACAACTAGTACCCTCCACTAAAATCAAAGTATATATTTACTCAGCAGGATGGTTAAACAACTATAAGCTGAGGTTGCCAACAACTCTGACAAAGACGTAGTTATATCGCCTGTTACGTCAGCTTTGCGTTAACAAAAAGGTTATCTATGAAAACACCTTTATTGTTAAAACTAGGATGGCTGCGTGTCAGCCAATAATAGGAACGAAAGCCCATTTTCTGGAAAATGATCTCATTCTATTTTAACTTTTTATTTTCTGATTTTATACAATTCAAACTATCGCTTCAGCTTCAAAACACGCGTTCAAAAACCAACCAAATCCTCTGTTATAAAAATTGCAACAAGTAATACTTTTAGTTTAATACCTTAACGTAAATAAAAAAAAAACATTCTCTAGAGCTTTTATTTGTTTGTTTCTCTTGTAACAATCGAATCCCCGTCCCACCAAGCATGCTCGCCCTTTCAGCCGTGGGGGCTTTATAATGTGACGGTCAATCCCACTATTCGCTGGTAAAAGAGTAGCCCAAGAGTTGGCGGTGGGTGGTGATGACTACCTGCCTTCCCGCTAGTCTTATACTGCTAAATTAGGGACGGCTAGAGCAGATAACCCTCGTGTAGCTGTGCGCGAAATTCAAAACAAACAAACAAACAAACTCTTATAACAAAGCCACACGAGGGTATATGCTGCGTCCATCGCGGGGAATCGAACCTCGGATTTTAGCGTTGGAAGTCCGTAGACTTACCGCTGTCCCACCGGGGGGTACCTCCGGAACATAATATATATTTTGTGTGTCATATTGAAATCATTACACAACAACGAGAGTCGCTTTTACCACCGATTAACTAACCAAATATTCTCAAAATAATCTTTAAGTATTAACATTATTTAGCTGAAGACAACATTGCAAGTGTCAACGTTTTACAAAAACAGACTTAGATATGAACGTCTTACGTTTTGCTAACCCTTGGTGGGCAACTATTCTAAGAAGTAAATGGCACAAATGTAGTAAATATAACATAAATTCAACTTTACGTTTATAATATTTACCTCATCTAAATGCCACTTCATTCCGAAATTTTGTGGGAATCAATTTTATCCAACGAAAGCCTTTTGCTGGATATGTTGAGTAACATAATATACTTGGAAGTTTGCGAATATTTGGGTTGCGTTTTACAATTACTTTGTTTCACTCAGTAGAAAGCGACTTTAAGGATTAAGGATGAATATTTCTATCGAACCTTCCTCCTAAGCCTTATAAACTACTCATTTTTCTTCTGGGATAAAGATCATGGCTGTAAAATCATTTATAAGAGAAGGGTGGATAGCAAGCGTACCCGATGTCTTCGACACTTTTTCGCATCTTTACGAAGAAAGTAGAAGGCGGAGTTACTAGGTGTCAGTCAACCTCTTAGGCGATCTTAAAAGCTCCGCCTCTTCCTGCGCGAAGCAAAAATGATAGACTAAGCGAATATTGTTGCCTCTCAAGGACGATGTCGTGTTCGCGACCATGTCTTTAAAAGAAAACCGTTCCCTTTACAACATCAGTGAAAACTAAGCCTTCTTCTTTTTTTAAATAATTTACTATTTTAACGTGGGTCTTCATGCTGAACTTCGTAACTTTAACATCAAACTTAACGCATGCGTGAAACATACATACACACACCTTGTTCTGTCACACAAGTCATGGCTCCAATGCTGTAAAAGCAGCTTCGGTGGGCAGTCCGTTCCTCAACGTTGGCTGTCGTTGCCCCGAGGCTCGGGTCTTCGCATTCATCCATGCCCCTAACAAACGGGGCAGTGGTAGTCAATACGCACGAAAGGCAGGCCGGGAACGAGAAGACAGTGGGTACTCCAGCCTCCCTCCCTCCCCCCACCCCGATTCACTGTATGCTGCATAAGAGGCTCTGACAGAGAGGCACTTAGCGCAGTGACTCTTGTGTGCAAGCCATGTCACTGAGCCCTAAACACTCCACTCCGTTTTCCGTGACCGACATCCTGAGCCCACTCGAGGAGAGCTACAAGAAAGCCGCCGCCCTTGCTGTTGCTGTGGACACCACCGGATTTCCTGCACCGTTAGCCGTCGCAACATCAGGCCCGTATCGTAACCATCAACCTCAAGGAAACATGAACGTGCCCGTAACCAACCCATACATGGTTCCCCAACTGTCCCATCCCAACTCCTTCGCCACCCAGTACTGTAACGGTGCTGATCTTTCACACTATGGTGACCACGTACGGCAAACCGCGACAGGATGGTACGGGGCGCCCCCAGACCCGCGCTTCGCAAGTGAGTGTTAGTATTCTATTTTTTTCCATTTTCTTATAGTTTAGTTTTAACTTATTACTTTAAGATGGTAGAAAAAATATATATATATTACGTTTGTATAATACAGAACCAGGAAGATCTTTTTTTAATTAAACGTTGTATAATATCCGATTGACATCAGACCAAGTTTTATGAATGTCATTGTCCACCAAACAGTTTGTTCTTTAAATATCTGGAATGTAATCCACTACAAGTCACATGAATTAAGTTTAACATACCCCACGTTTCCTAATCCTGTATTCCTTCCTTGAAGCTTCACCTAAAACTGGTATCTTTCATATGCTCCGGGCCTTTTATACGAAGCAATGAGAGTTGTTAAGTGAAAACAAGCAGAAAATCATCCACGTAATATATTACATGAGTGAAGAGTTATCAGTCCTGTTAGCAAGAGGTCTTGATGGCTTGGAGGAGGTTGCCTAGTACCGGTATCACTTTACGTAGGTCTTCCGGTATGGAGGGAAGCCGGCGTAATTCCTTCAAGTGAATTTGAGAGCTTTTCACTGAAGAGTTATTGAGAGACATTGGTGTATATATAGCTGCAATGCCTGTCTGTCTAAGTTTACTACATAGACAATCACTTAGCGCCTTCCCAGCAAACCGGTCCATACTCAGGTCCTTGTTCTGGTCAACCTGTCCACTTGATGACGCTTAAGAGCTCCTGAGTTGGCTGCTGTTTCTAGAGGGTCCGCTGCAAGAGGTCCTCAACACTGGACATTTCTCTGCGAAACGGGTGATGGCTATGGAGAGAAACAAAGCTTGTTAAGGACATAACTAAAGTCTTGTAGAACTCACAAAGCTTGTTAAGGATATAACTAAAGTCTTGACGATGTTTTGTTTTCTTCTTTAACTCCAGCCTAAACTAGGCTTCTAAAGATGAAGTTCTATGGATATAGAGGTTCGATCTATATTAGTTTATGCGGCTACCTTGAAGGGGTGTAATTCATACTTCAATTTATAAAAGAAAAATATCCAATGCTCATGTATCATGTTTCTATATATCTTTTATGTGAATATTGAAGATCATATATAAGTTATTTTCTAAGAAATACTATTAATATAGTGAAAATACTGTCGTGATTTTTGTTTGTACAATTAACATTAATCACATTTAAAAAAATCATAAACTATTATATACATTTTAACCCTATTTTGTCCCTAATGATGAATAACGAATTAACCTTCTAGTATTACGAGCATTTAATATGAATTATGTTTTTGTTTGTTTATAGTTAAGCACAAAGCTACACAATGGGATATCTGTGCTGTGTCCACTACGGGTATCGTAACCCGGTTTCTATCGTTTTAAGTCCATAGATATGCCGCTGTGCCGGTAGGGGGCATGAATTATATGTAATTTAACGAAAGCCACAGAGGTATAACGTATCCATTTTTGTACTGTATGCAATATAATGCCCTTAATTAACACATCGAATACATTAAACTGTGCTTTAAGCTACTGGTTTATTCAACAATAATTTATTTATTCACCATTCTATTGAAATGTCAGTGCCGTTTACAATGCATACTATAGAAAAATTATTATTACTTCCAAATATTAGTACCGTTTACAATACATACGATAGAAAATTTGTTATTACTGTGCTGTTTACAATACATACTATAGAAAAATGTTATTACTTCCAAATATCAGTGCCGTTTACAATACATACTATAGAAAAATGTTATTACTTCCAAATATCAGTGCCGTTTACAATACATACTATAGAAAAATGTTATTACTTCCAAATATCAGTGCCGTTTACAATACATACTATAGAAAAATGTTATTACTTCTATTTTGTTGGAAAGGTTTAAAGCATTTTTTTTTTTTTGTTCTTTTGGGCTTCCAGCAGATCCAAAACGAACAAGTTTTTATAGTATGTTTGCTGTATTATAGAAACGAAGAGACCAGTTCTGAGAATCAAGCTACAAATTTCACTGTTTGAATTACGTGGATGGGTGGGAAAAGCCAGATACGTAGGCATATTAGATCTCTAGTCAGGATGTAAGAAGTACAAATATTGACCAAGAGACCAGTTGGACTCACCATGTTACACAGGTAGAAGCTGGGCGAGGCAAGTGGAAGTTGGTGGCTCGATGGGGAGATGGGACTTATCTGGATGCATATCCCAGTCAAAAACTCAGGTTAATATTTCCATTTACCTGAGCGACGAAGATCATTGGTAGCTGGAAAACTTGGTTTTCCGACAAACCACCATTATCTCCCTGAGTAAACAGCGTTGTCAGGTCGTCGTTCTTTGTATAATAAACTATAGACGATAGGGTAGGACTTTCAGCTGACTTAGGTTTAAAGAAGCACCAGCTGCTTTACTGTGCTTTTACTTAAGTTCACGTAAACGTGAAGTTTATGATAAAAAAATTCTTAGAGTCGCAACAATACTCAAAATTTCAAACACGTTTTGCAAATAGCGTCCAAAATGTTGTTTCAATGACACAGTTAAAAAAATGCATATGTTTAACACGTCTGAAGCGTATAGTAAATTTCAAATGATAGTGGTAGCGCATAGCTACCTTTGGATGTTTTTTAACATTTTTATGCAATAACTGACCAATAAGCGTTTTATTTATAAACCTTGTACATTTTGTTCAGTGCTTGTTTAATTGTTTGCTTGTTTTTGAATTTCGCGCAAAGCTACACGAGGGCTATCTGCGCTAGCCGTCTCTAATTTAGCAGTGTAAGACTAGAGGGAAGACAGCTAGTCATCTCTTGGGCTACTCTTTTTCCAACGAATAGTGGGATTGACCGTCACATTATAACGCCCCCACGGCTGAAAGGGCGAGCATGTTTGGTGTGGCAGGGATTCGAACCCGCGACCCTCAGATTGCGAGTCGAGTGCCTTAACCACCTGGCCATGCCGGGCACTTGTTTAATACAAAAATAACTTATATATATTGAAAAAAATGAACTCCAGCTCTTTTAACATTTTTTTTTCTTCAAATATGTCATCAAATTAACAGCATTTGCGCACTGTAATGTTGACTGTTTGAGCATTAAAGACTTACATTGTCACAATATGCTACAATAGACTGGCAACTCGCTTGTAGTCACTTAATGCTATAGACACGTGTAGTTTTTGACGTTGAAGTAGATATACAAATTAACCAGAACCGCTGATTGGCGTATCTATGACAGGTAATAAAAATACACTAAAAGTTAGGACGTGATTTTGCTTTTATAGGTTAGAATTAATAGCTTAAAAGTTTCTCTTTACAGGGGGTTTCTTTCAAATGTGGATAGTTTGACATTTCGCAGTTCGACCACTCTAACTTTCCTGTGACCAAGACATCAAACAGATGTACACGAATACACTATTTACGTACGTCTCTTTTGATTGGTTTAAATACTAGATCGACAAGGTATGGAGAAAGTAACCAAATTATTAATAAGACGCTAAACCAAAATATATCATGCTGATAACAAAAAAAAAGTGACCTAACACAAAATTTGTGAGTGTATGCACAATGTGCTCCATTTAGTAATCAAAGGGCTCAAGATGTAGCCGAATGTATGCACAATGTGCCCCGTTTAGTAATCAAAGGGCTCAAGATGTAGCCGAATGTATGCACAATGTGCTCCGTTTAGTAATCAAAGGGCTCAAGATGTAGCCGATGGTGAGAATGTTATTCACAGAACATACTTTTAACTTTTATTTTTACCTTTTTTTTCCTGTACTTGTAAAATCATCTTAAGACTCAGCCGCTGATGAGAAACTTTAAGAGTACTTCCATTGCCTTCATATATATATATATATATTTAAACTATGAATCCCACGAAAAACTATACAGTGTGCATTGTTTTTATAACAGGAAAAAGTCTAATTTAAGAGCCAAGTAAACCATCTTAACTGTAAATGTAGGTGTCAATACGTCACTTGAAAGTCTATAATTAAAGTACATGTGATAGGAAACTTACCGAGATAAAAAACTATATAGAATTAATAAATGCTGGTTATAAATTGGAACTCAATATAACTAACATAGCTAATATCAAATTTACAATAAACTCCGTTTTTTAAAAGGGTGCTTGCTACTTAATCCAGTAATCAGAGTGGCTAACATTTTATTTTGTATAACAGGTTCTCTTCACGTTCGAAATCAATGTTCGAACAATTTTTTAAGACTTTTAACTGATAATTTATGCGTTAAATCTGCATCATTACAGAATACTTCACAGTGAAACCGTAAAACCAATCCATGATCTGCATTATTACAGTATAATTTACAATGAAACCGTAAAACCAATCCATGATCTGCATCATTACAGTATAATCCACAGTGAAAACGTAAGACCAATCCATGACCTGCCTCATTACAGTATAATTTATTGTGAAACCGTAAAACCAATCCATGATCTACATCGTTACAGTATAATCCACAGTGAAACCGTAAGACCAATCCATGATCTGCATCGTTACAGTATAATCCATAGTGAAACCGTAAAAACAATCAACGAAACAGTTAGATTAACGCATTATGCTTCATATTACGGGCTAGAATTAATTTTGTATACAATGCAAACTGATAATGATAAAGTTAAACTTAAAAAAAAAAGACCCACAATCTCGATCAGGTTATGTTTATATTGTTACTAAAACGAAGCTATCCAAGAAAATACAGCTAGTATCATTCAGCATAGGATCGTTTAATCATTTAGACAATACAGTAAGAAGCAGATTTTTGCAGAAGAATGTATATTGAGTCATTTGTATGGAAATAATAAATTAACGTGTCGTGGTTATAATCACGGTTAATAACTGAGATTGAATGATATCTGAATTTCTTTAAATATTTATACTTTGTTATCATACCTATTCTCTTAGGTTTAGTGTTTAGAACTAATATCGTTGCTTGGTAACCTCTCGCTTGTTTTGTCTTGATATAACGAGTTGGACGAGAAGGACAAAGTGCGAATCGTGCAGTGATTCGGCTGTATTGGATCTAGATCCTTTTCGGGATCTGGGAGAGTCGGGTATGTGTTAAAATGTTTTGTTTATTTTGAATTTCGCGCAAAGCTACACGAGGGCTATCTGCGCTAGCCGTCTCTAATTTAGCAGAGAGAGACTAAAGGGAAGGCAGCTAGTCATCACCGCCCACCGCCAACTCTTGGACTACTCTTTTACCAACGAATAGTGGGATTGACAATCACATTATAACGCCCTCACGTTGGTGAGACGGCAATTCGAACCTGCAACCCGCAGATTGAAAGTCGAGAGTATAAGGGAAAACGCTGGTATTTTCTAGTTGATTGTAATGTTGTTGGATACAATGTAAACTATAAAGATTAAGACTGATGAACTTGACAAACACGAAGTATACACCAATAAAATAATATAGTGATCAAATATTTGGTTACAATGGCTCACTTTTCGATAAAATAATATTGTTTATTTAACAAAGACGTTTTATGTGAAGATTTCTCACGAGCATGTGTGTAGGGAAAGGATAGTTTTCTAAATAATGTAGGCTCATTCTCGGAACGAGTATGTATAAATAACAGATTATAGGTTGTGCGGAATAAACGCCAGTTCCGAGAGAAATAATATTTATATTGGCTTAAAACTAAGTCCACGAACAGATTCCTGCTCAAAAGAAAACGCAAGGCCACAGCAAAGAATAGTCAAATAAGAAAAAAAAAGTTTATTCTTTTATCTAGAAATTCCAGTACATACCGTAGTATTAAGTATGATTTGTTTAACTTTCGTCAATGCCATTTTAGTTATTTATTTTTTGCACAAAAACAAATCAAGTTACTGCGAAACCTTTATTGGATTAGAATGACGCTTTCTGTATGTATTTATACATCTGTAAGTATTGCATATGATTTCGAGAAAACTAACTTTTTTTAAAAAATATTTTCACCGTAAGAAACTTCTTTGATTTTTACATTTAAAGTGACGTTTGTAAGATATAATCACGAAGGTAATTATTAGTTTGAAGTTTCTAAACTTTTTAATACATATATATATATCAAACTTTATCTAAGAAGGTTCTATGGATATCGATGACTGTTATGTGATGATACTTGGAATAAGATACATGTATTTTGATAAATATGCTTAGATAAATCTGTAATTATACAATGTAAACCTTTCATTACATTCATGAGAGCGAGAAAATTACTGTTTCCAGAACAATCGATATAGAAAGGTTTCTCATGTTTCACTTCACGAGAACGATACTTCAGTTCCCTTGGAATATGTTTTATCCATCCTCAATCGTGCTCCAGCTGATGACCATGATTATAGACTATTACCCAACATTCCACACATCTCGTCTAATGTTACCAGCTTCAAACACAACGTTTGTACAAAACTTCATTGGAGATGCGTTGAGGGACTTCATAGGTAAGTGACGGAATATGGGATTGCTATGTATTCCGTTTCTGTCTCATGAAAACACCCTTTGATTTCGAGGTATGAACGGGAGCTTGGAAAATATGAGCTTGTGAGTCTTTGTCAACTCCGAATTCTTACTTGATATTTTGTTTTTCACAGTAATCAGCTTCATCAGGATTACTTTTCTTTTTAGGTCGGAAGGTTCTCTTTCAAATATAACCTTCACTTTTTGGATGAGGTTGTTTTTCCGGATTAGCTTAGGGTGTGGTTTTCTTTGCCCTAAACCACTTACTGTGCAATATTCCACGGAGAACATTAAAGGCCCCCCTTCTTCGAAATGGCTGTTCTTTGGATCTACAACATTTAATAATCTTGGTATATGAATATCTTTCCTTGGAAGGGACTGTACATGTTACTCTAGTCACAATTTTATCTTTGGTAACATTACACTGTCGATTATTCGAGAATTCGCCATGAATCAGGCATATAGGTGTTAGAAATATATCGCCCGTGGCGACACACAATTCGCAAATATAACAACACATCAAATCTTTAAGAAGTCATTGTAATACAGTATCATTAGTCTTCTATACATGAAATACTTGATAATTATATCAAAAGTGTTTGTAGACGCACGTCGCTCTCTGAAGTGCCACTAACTTTGAAATAAAGCAGTCAATTATTTCCACATTTCGAATTTTCAAGTTTAGAAAGATTATTCACTCAGTACACACTGATTCTTTCATACATCTTATATCTAGTGATCCAGTCTCGCAATTAAACTTGGTATTTGTAATTGTCTTTATGTACCCCAGACTTAATCCAGAGAACTACTTTACCGAATTAACAAGTTGGTGGTTACGATCTCAAATTTTGTCGCGCTTTTAATGATAGGGATGTATAGTAATTTTGTATTAAGTATTCTATAAGAATCGTAATTAAATTACTCTTATTATATGTACTTTCATAAGCAGCTGTTATACATAACATATATATACGTTTGGTTGTAAAGTTTCTTTTTTCATTTTTGGACAGTTCTAAGTTGTGAAGAGCCAAATAGAGATAATAAGCCAGAATCGTAGGCATAATGAACAGTGAAAAATGAGGGTTAATATACATTCTGTAGTTGGAAGGCGATTGCTTGCAATGTTAATTATACTTAGTTTTTGTGTTATAAGTGACACCACGTTACAAAGATGGTCTTGGAAGAACGAATTTTGTTGTGTCTTTAAAGCAGTATTCACATTGGAGTTTTTTTTTTTCTGATAGTTTCACGCTTGATGGGCTCGTCTCCGGGGATGCCCATGTCCAACATGAATATGCCGACTTTCAGTGCTTGTAGTGTGGCGGCAGCAGCAGAGAACAAGGCGATGGGGTCCGGAGTCCAGTTTCCACTGACGCAGCGCCGTAAACGAAGAGTGTTGTTTACCCAAGCGCAGGTGTACGAACTGGAACGACGCTTCAAGCAGCAGAAATACCTGTCTGCTCCGGAGAGGGAACATCTGGCCAGCTTGATCCATCTGACCCCCACGCAAGTGAAAATATGGTTTCAGAATCACCGCTACAAGTGTAAAAGACAGGCCAAAGAGAAGGCTATGGCCGAGCAGCAAACTCAACAGTCGCATCAGCATTCGCCGAGGAAGGTCGCGGTACCCGTATTGGTTAAAGACGGCAAACCTTGTTCGGCCAGTTCAGGAGAACACGACGGAACCTCTGCCAGCGGCAGCACTGATACGGCTACGCCAGATCTACAGTTGTCCCAACCACATCAAACACGTACAACTCTTCAAGGCTCATCCTGCCTTGGCGAGTCGTGCGCTCAAAATACTGCAGTAAGCCGTTCCCACGTGATACCGCAGAACGCAGTGGACAGTCCAGGTTCTGGCCTCAGCTCCTTGAACAGCTTAGGTGGCTATGGTCAGCATCTTGGCTCGCACGGTGGTTTAGATTTGGGTTCAGGAATAACAGTGTCAAACAGTGCTGTCTGTCCTGCATATCTTCAGCTACAAGGCAGGACGTGGTAATTAAATACACGTACTACAAAAACAAAACTCTGTACTTTTAAATATAACTCCATTAAATGACTGATCGGTAAACTCTAGCTCTTTCGGGAAAAATTCTCACGTTCTTCCGTTTAGGACAGAGCTTACGATAGGGACTATGACCGTCAGATATAAAAATAATCTGAAGATGATACATCGAGGACATTTCGATCGATGTGGCTGCAAAGTTAAAGTGTTATGAGTTTCAGTTATATTATCTGCAAGAAAAAAGTGTATAGAGAGAGGACTCGGAGAAGGTCTGTGAATTAGATGTAACTCTTTCTACATAAATAGCTTCAGTGAGATGTAACTCTTTCTACATAAATAGCTTCAGTGAGATGTAACTCTTTCCACATAAATAGCTTCAGTGTATAATACAGCTACTTTTTACTCTAGAAAGGTGTTATTAGATCAGCTTGAACTTTGTAAAGCTGGTAATTACCATTGATAATTTCAATTAGGAAATAGACTTATGTACGTTGTAAACATATAAGTAGAGACGTTACGGTATAAATACATTTACATAAGTTGTTGTTTGTTGTCCTTTCTCTATGTAATTTCTATTTTATTGAATTGTATTTGGGATATATTGTCAATTTGTGTACAAACTGAGTCCCGCGTGCATGTGTTATATTTACACAACTTCAACCTTTGATGTGTGTGTGTGTGTATATATATATATATATATATATATACACACATACGTGCACGCACACACATGTGAATGGTTTTATGTATTTGTCTAGTGATCTATGAATGTGATTCCTGTTTGGTGAGATTTTCATCTAACATCATTACATATCCTAAACAGGACAGATGATGACTAGTGGTTCCTTGCTATAGATAGACGTACAATACCTCCTGTACAACATATTTTATCTTGTACTAACATGATTAAAGTATTGAGAGCAAAACCTATGACGATATCCGTTGTAATTGATTCTGTGATTCTATTCCCTGCAACAAGAAGAGCAGTCAGTTAGCGAATTCGGTCGTTAGTAGAAGTTATCTTGTTTCGAGAGTGCGGTTTCGCGCGTTCTTTCTCCATTAGTTCCTAACTGAACAAATAGGTTATAGACTTCAGTAAACTCTGATTCTTGAAGCATAGCTTGTATACTTCCCAATAAAAGAAATGTACACCTGAACGTTAATATACTACTATTACACACTTCTACGTGGCATCGTGCCACCTGAGATTTACTGCTAATAATTCGAAAATGAAACTGATGCAAAATATTGAAATAAATACATAACGTGTCAGTACATTCAATGTGAATTAATTGTCTCTGAACCTGATGCAAAATATGGAAACACATACATAAAGTGTCAGTACATTCAATGTGAATTAATTGTCTCTGAAACTGATGCAAAATATGG